GGAGGCTCCGTCTACGGAGGCTCAGACTACGGAGGCTCAGTCTCAGTCTGCGGAGGCTCAGTCTATGGAGGCTCAGTCTACGGAGGCTCAGTCTCAGTCTGCGGAGGCTCAGTCTATGGAGGCTCAGTCTCAGTCTATGGAGGCTCAGTCTACGGAGGCTCAGTCTATGGAGGCTCAGTCTCAGTCTACGCAGGCTCAGTCTACGCAGGCTCAGTCTACGGAGGCTCAGTCTACGCAGGCTCAGTCTACGGAGGCTCAGTCTACGGAGGCTCCGTCTACGGAGGCTCAGTCTATGGAGGCTCAGTCTCAGTTTACAGAGGCTCAGTCTCAGTCTATGGAGGCTCAGTCTATGGAGGCTCAGTCTACGGAGGCTCAGTCTATGGAGGCTCAGTCTCAGTCTATGGAGGCTCAGTCTCAGTCTATGGAGGCTCAGTCTCAGTCTGTGGAGGCTCAGTCTACGGAGGCTCAGTCTCAGTCTGCGGAGGCTCTGTCTACGGAGGCTCCGTCTACGGAGGCTCAGTCTATGGAGGCTCAGTCTACGGAGGCTCAGTCTATGGAGGCTCAGTCTCAGTCTATGGAGGCTCAGTCTCGGTCTGTGGAGGCTCAGTCTACGGAGGCTCAGTCTATGGAGGCTCAGTCTCAGTCTGCGGAGGCTCTGTCTACGGAGGCTCCGTCTACGGAGGCTCCGTCTACGGAGGCTCAGTCTATGGAGGCTCAGACTACGGAGGCAACCGGAAACAACGTCAATGTTTGAATCTCGCTAAAACAACACTTCTGTTAACATTTAAACTCATATTTTCTTTGCACGATGATAATTTCTCCCCAACGTGTTAACGTTAACTCTCACAACATCAGGTCACAAAACACATCTGCATGTAACTGCGGCGTCTTGTCGTGTCACACGCTCAACGTTTTTTTTTATTACAGTCGCCACACCGGCAACCTTCAACACCAAAGTGTCTGAGATGATTTAATCCACGGCACACCTGAACCACGTCCCCGGAGGTTTCACTCGTAGCGTTTTCACAGTCGAGCGCTCGGCACTAATGCAGCCGCTGGCAGCCACCGTAGGATTATATCAGCTGTAACGCTACGGGGAGCGCTGCCAGCCACTTCGTAGCGAGCAGTATACTTTATAGTGACAGTCTAGATTGGATTTGTACCAGTGCAGTATATACCTCATAAATGTTTAATCTTCCTCTCCGGTTGGTATTGATGCAGTTGGGAGGGGGGGTTAAAGCAATCAGTAGTCACACGAGACGGCTCGTTCCTCTGCACGCAGTCCTGATGTTAACATTCATGTAATAAAATGCTGCATAAGGGGGTTTGTTTGTCCAAAAATAAAAGAAACAGAGAGGTGACATCAACAGTTCAAATCACAGGTGCCTTGAGCCCCCCCCCGTGAGAGGAGGAGGGAAAGTGACAAAGGGAATTGGAAGAGACAATTTCCTCCTTCTCTTTCTCCAGCTTTGTTTTTCAGCGGGCGGATACATGTCTTCCCCGCCGCGAGAGTGTTTATCCATGCTGACTGAAGCACAGCAGGATGGAACCAGCAATTAGAGGAGGGCTGGAAGTATAAAAGAGAGGAGAGAGAGAGAGAGAGAGAGAGAGGGGATGGATGGATGGATGGATGGAGAGAGACTCCGACAGACGTCTCTCTCGTTGCTGAAGTGGGATCAGAATCGAAGCTGCTCTGCAGGAGGAAGGAGGGAGAGGGATGTGGGTGGTAGAGAAGAAAAAAATATATAAAAGCGTGAGTCCCTTATCTAGCAATTTGTAGGGTCTGCTATCACGAGCTGTTATAATCCCCCAACTTTATCCTCCAAGACATACACACAGAGCGCACTCTAATCTTATATATATTCTCCTGGTCTCCTGCAGTGTGTGTGTGTGTGCGTGTGTGTGTGTGTGTGCGTGTGTGAACTGTTAACATGCATTATGCTGGAATATGTAGAAACTTTTAAAATAGCAATTCAATTTCCTCCAGGAACCCTCAGATCTTCCAGCGCTGGGTTTCTAGTTCCTCAAAAAACACTTGAAAAAGAAAATTGGAGCTTTTTTTTCACTCATGCTCCCAAACAGCTGACCCCGAAACCCTGAGAGAGGCAGCCTCTGATGATGTGTTCATGCATCGCTTCAACATCTGTCTTTATGTGTTTAAACACTTTTATATGAAAACATTTATTTATTTTTATTATTTTTTTGTTATTTTAAATGTGGATTGTTTTACAGTTTTTATTCATCTGTTGAATTTTGTTAATTTACACTTAAAAAGTGCAAAATACGTGCTTTCTTCCTCCACTTTTTATTTATTTTATCCGTAAAAGGAAGGTTTTGAAAACTTTGAGCTACATAGTGTGCATGAAATGTGCATTCCATGCCGTGCAAAAAACTATATGTATTAGTATAAGTGAATAAGTGAATAAGTGTATAAGTGAATTTGTAAAATTGTTAAAGCTGAATTTCTTTTTTTTTTAAGTGGGCGGCTTTAGCAGCTCGTGAGTATCTGAGGGCCACAGCAGAGGTTGTGAGTAAGCCTTGTGGATTATATGAACATGTGCAGATGCGCCTTAAGGGGCCGAGAGATGTGAAGGTTCCTGGTCAGGAAGCTCAGTGTGATGAAGGCTGAGTAATCTCCTCAGTTTTCTATTTCTGTGTGTGTTTGGCCTTTTACCTATCTCGCTCGCACTAATATCCTCTCTGCCATTAAAGACCGAGCGAGTGTTCTGCACCGGAGAGCAAATAA